ACACGATCTGCCATTGGTTGAATCCCTGGATATGGAACTGTGGATATGGAGGAACTGCATATATGGAGGGCTGACTATAAAGTTATACATGGATTTTCAACTGCAGGGAGGGTCAGCACCCCTAACCCTCACGCTGTTCAAGGGTCAACTGGATATTCATATGTATCTTCAAAGATGTCTTTTTTTTGAAATTAAGTTTTATGTAGAACCCTCATTGTAAAACACATAAAAGAGGAGCCACTTGATACAACTCACCCATTGCAGTGGCTTCTGAAGCACTACTTAGAACACTAGGACTGTGGAACACAGTTTGAAAATCACTCCAAGGGCTGGCACCTTATCTATAAAGGACCAGATAGTACATATTTTCAGTTTTGTGGACCGTAGAGTTTCTTTTGCAACTGCAACTGCTCAACTCTGCCATTATGGCAGGGAGGCAGCCCTAACCAATAGGTAAATGAATGGGCATGGCTGGATTTGGCCCACTGCTGACCATTTTGGTTTTCTGACCCCGCCAAAACCCTCGTCATTTTTTTTTTAACAAATGGGGACTCTGAGGCTGAGAACAGGGAAGCAAATTACTATTAAAAACAGAGCTAAGACTAGAACCCAAGTCTCCTGATTGCCACCTTGTTCCTTTACCTTTCAATTTGCTGTCAAATAGAAATTCCTGGTGTGTGTGTGTGTGTGTGTGTGTGTGGCAGGGAATGCGCTCTGCCTAAGTGTCTTTAGTTAAACAGTACCTTTGACTATAGGTAAAGTATCTCTCACAAAGTGGAGGTGCCCTCTAAATCGTGTCATTTTGAGAGAATATGGTGTCCTTGCAGCTACTCAGTACTCTCTTCTAATTGTATCTCCAATGAAAGGCCTTGCCCTATAAAGATATCTGAAGCTCTGTTGCATGAAGGGTTTGAGGTCTAGTGTTATATGTCTTCCTGGGGAAAAATGGCTGTGTTTTTAATGTCTTAATTGATGTGTTAATTAGAGTTATTGAGATAACGAGAACCATGTCAAGCCTATCTGGAATGAATGTTCAACGTTGAGGGGACTAGAGTATGTGTGAATTGGGATTAACTTTTTCTTTAAAAAAGAAAAACAACTCTGTGTACTTTTTGTGCCGGACACTCTACTAAGCACTTCATTTGTTATCTCATTTGCTCCTTTTAGAGGTATATCAAATTATCATCATCTCTATGTTATGTATGAATGAGTAAAGGGAAGTTCAAGGGAGATTAAGTAGCTTTCCTCAGGTTGCATACCTAGTAAGTGGGGAGCCAACATTTGGACTGGGGTAACCTGAGGCCAGAGCTCATGACCTTAACGATTTTACTGTATGGCCTCTCTCTTTACCTAGAAGGAACCATTGACATTTCTGATGGCATTGAAAGGTGAAGTTGAGGATCTAGGATGTCTTAATTACTGAGCTAACATTTGAGGAACTTAGCACAGGAGATAAGTCTATAGAAGAGAGGCAGAAAAGGGGATTTACCATAATGAAGGAAAAAGTGAAGCATATAAAGTTCAGGATAGTACAGGTGTTAATAAGCCGTATAGACCTTTGTTCCTTTCTATGTATAGATGAGATCTACAAAACATAGAATATGTAACTTAGAAGATAGCTGACTTTGTGGATTGCATCTTTATAGGGTCTTGCACTGGTAGCATCCAACAGTTGTCCTTTTGTACTCTAAATTACCTAGGTATTAAGCATTTACTAGGTGATCTTGGTGTTTATGGCTGAGCTGCACTTTTTCTTGGTCCTGTATACGGGTATTGTGATTCATAATTGGCCGTAAAGTTAAGAGATTCGTTAGGGAAGATGTAAAAGTTTTCCTCAGAGAAAACTATGATAGGCAAAGGGTTTGGTGAATTTTGAAATTATCTGGAAAAATTCCTGGGGATTTGGATATTATGTTGTAAAATTTTCTCTCTTATTAAAATAGTTATTTTGGGGACTATAATGTCTGTGACTCTTGGTTTTAATATCTGCAAATGTCCTTGATTTTCCATACTACTAGATTGTTATTTGGATCTGCTGACATAATAGATTGGCACTTTGCACACACACAAAAATAAGATATGCAAAAAAAAAGGAAGTAGAAGAATTATGCCAACAATAGAGGTCCTGGTACCTTGTGGAAAATCATCCCAGTGGCAAAGCATGATGGGATTTTCCTTGGCCTGGTTTGTGGAAGTTGTCTGACTTGTGTGACTATCTTTGGCCAACTCAGAAAACTCTCTGGGCCTTTATTGCTTTTCCCTTCCAGACAGTTGGCTCAGTGACTTCCACTGCTAGGGTTTCCTTAGCTAAGACATTGAGGATTCCTTTCTCAAGAAAGGCAGGGCATAGAGAAATACACCTAGTCCTGACTGCTTATTTTTCAGTTCTCTGAGCTTACATTGCAGTACTTTACCATCAAGGCAAGAACTGCATACTATCTAACTTTAATTGCCTTTAAGTATAACCCCTGTAAGCCTCAGTAATTATAGTTAACACTCTCTGCATTAACATTGCACTGCTCCCCTAGGGTTTTCAGAGCGATTCACAAATAAATGCATTCAACTTTAAATAGCTCATCAGGATTATAGAATCCAAAAGGCAAAGGATAGAGGATATTTCCTGCTCTCCAATTATTCAAAGCTTAGCAAATAGGAAGGCAGAGGCATCCATGGCCTAAAGGTCTTGATTGCCCTAGTCAGTGTTATTACAGATAGTCGCATATCCCAGAAAAGAAAGGTTTAAGCTTATTGAGAGGATGAGAATGGCAATTTTTGTTTCTTTTATTAACTAGGGAAAGGTCTAATGGATAAAAACATTTAGACTTTTATAACTCACCTCAACTGGTTTACAAGGCTAGATTGAACTAGGCCTTGGAATGAAAGGAAATGTCAAGAAGTGTAGCGTGAATTTTTAAAGTTTTCCCAGTCACCTAGGCAAGGCATAATGCAAGTCTGGTAGGAAAATATAAGTTTTCTTCCACCTAGAGAAAGTTCAGCAAGTCTAATTTGGAGAGAGAGCAGTTATAAGACAAGGAGAGTTTCCCCATTAGCACATGCCATTGCTGTCTGAGTGGACATTCTAGAGAGCAGTGATTTGGACACATTACCACGAAGGTCTTACCTGGTTTCTGCAATGAGGGTGTCAGGTTGGTTCTGCTGGTCTGGCCCCAGCTAAATGGATGTGGGCAGTGCTGGTAAAGTGGGTAACCTCTTAACATTGCAACTGTCTATCTAGGTATCTCAAGGGCTTGAGAATTTGTTGGAAAGTTAGAGTTGAGCTGAATTCTTGAATTTCCTTTGGACGATGTTATCAATAATATCTTCACATTTAAATCTTAATAATGAGAGTATCCCTAACCGCAGGTTTCACGAAAATAATAATAACAGCTGTGACCAGCTTGGAAGAATTTCTACTTTAGAAAGAGTCCATGCGTTGATTTTATTAGCAAGAGAGGCACCCACACAAGTATTATAGGTATGGAGAAGCACCATCTGCTCATTCCTAACAATTTGGAAAGGCTGCACTTTCCCCTATCTTCTTAGGTGTTGAGGGTATGTATGCCTTCTTTAAAAAGCTCTGAAATTCTCTTCATTCCTTCATTTCAACTGGAGTCCTCGGGGATTTACCATGATGGGATTTGCCTTGGAAGTTACAAGGGTACAAAGAACTCAAACTCTTAGTCCCAACCTGCTTCTACCTTTGTTTTTGGTTATGGTTCATAAGCTTGCAAAGAGGAAGAATCATATTTGATCTCACTTAGTCTTAGATTTGATTCATTAGTTTGCATCTTTAGATATCTTTAAAGGTCCCAGAGTGATCGTTGAGAGATTATGGTCCAATGTTATCAACTCGGGCTCATGAGTGAGGCAGAAATCGCAAGTGACCTGTGTTCTTTTAATAAGAACTGGGGCGGGTGGGGGGGGGCAGTGCTGGTCAATAAAGAGACTAAAGATGAACCATTGCATGGCAGCTTCACTTTTTTTTTTTTTTTTTTTTT